CTCGATTACGAGGTCGTATGAGTGAGTTATGCCATTTTGAAGTTGGGCTGTTGGCACAGGGCAGTTCACCCGAAATTGTAAGGGTATTTTGGTCTTTTCCCTACTCAATTGTTTTGGTTATATTAAGGGTTTAGAATGATTTTTAGATCAGTTTTTCCCTTTTTAAAAGAGTGAGAGTAAGGGTTTGTGAGTGTAGAGGAAAGAATAGGAGAAAGAGAAGAACAAGCAAGGAGATCGTCGTGGTATCGTCGGGGGTGATCCCTATTAAGGTATGTGAGTTCATAGTGTTGGGTTGGTTCTTTCCCCCACACGCCAAACTCGTTTTAATTTCGAGAAAAAGATTGGTTGTGTTTGTTGAAGTTTGTGGTTGTGCTTGTTGAAGTTGTTGGTGGTGTTGTTGAAGTTCCTTGTTTTGGTGTATGTTTCCGGTTGTGATTTCGAGTTGAATCAAGTGTATGTTGAGGGTTTTTATGATTCTAAGTGTTTGGGGCTGGATCCATTGAAGTTAAGGAGGTTTAGAGTTGGAAAAATGAAGGAGAAGAGTCGGATTTTTGGGGGAAAAGGTTGGGGCGTCGCGCCAGCCAGCGCGCCCCAACAGGGGTTCTGAAGTTTCCCCCTAGGGGTGGAACGTCTCTCAGAGTGCCCAGCAGGCCCCTCTGAGGTCTGAAGGCTGGCGCCCCGCACCTCTCAGAGCGCCAAGGACGCCAATCTTTCCCATTCCTTCCCCACTTTTTCATACATGTTCCTTGGTAATGTACCTATGTTTTATAGTTGTTTCAACACTCTAAGGTACATTTAGACATCCCGAACTCATCCATAAACATGAGATCATTACCCTTGAATCCGTAATCCAATTCAAGGCGAGTTAGGATCAAAGTCAAGTGAAGTTAGAAGTCAAGTGAAGTTAGAGCCAAGCTTAGAAGTTAAGCAAGTCAAAGCAAGTCTTTAAAGTTTTTCAAGAGTCTTTATTGAACATTTTAACTTTATTTTAAGGCTCAAGTTCCAAGTTAAGTTTAGAGTCTCAAGTTGAGTAAAGAGTATAGAGTTCCAAGTTAAGTATAGAGTTTCAAGTTGAGTAAAGAGTATAGAGTTTCAAGTTAAGTAAATAGTATAGAGTTTCAAGTTAAGCCACGAGTAAAGAGTCAAGTTCATTTCTCAAAAGTTAATAGGAACTAAGTATTCCCAAAGAAGTTTATAAATGTTTTCACATTTAAGATGAGAGGAAACTGAGATTTCCAAAAGAGTTTTGAGAAGTTTGAGTACTATCACTTTTTGAGAAAAGATGAGTTTTGCGAAAGAGTTTCTAAAACATGATTAGTATGACAAATCGAGTATGTCATCAATGTTTAAACAGTATGGTCTCTAGATATACCATCAATGTTTAAGTAGTATGAATATCCCGAGTCATCAATGATCATATTAAAATATGGTTTTGAGATGTTCTTTTTAGAAAGAGTTTTCAAGAGCCTTTGGGCTAAGTTTTGAGTAATTATCTCAACTAAAGAAAGATGTGTTTAAAACACTAATGAACTAAAGTATTTTTTTAGGAGTAGTCTTGAGCACCGAATTGGGGACACGAGTTCATATTAACTCAACTCTCCATAAGAACCATGTAGCCAAACATGGGATTTGACGGGTCATACTTTTTAGATGATCACGTAAAGTTAAGCTAGTGGATCCACTAATTTAAAGTTAAAGTAAGGTCCTATATCACGGCAAGGTATAGGATGGTCCTTGGGCAACGTGAGGTAAAACGTTGTATCACTCCTTAAGCATATAGTGGTGGCTGTCGGTTAGAGAACTCCCACAGTAGAAATTGCATGGTTCCTCGAGGGGTTCTGCTTAGTATGGATGGGGGTATGGGACTTCATTCATGCATTGCACAAGTAGACTTTGAGAGGAAGCATGGCATTTTCATGATATTATAAATATGATTTTTACGTCATGTTTTAAATAGTTTTACAAGCTTTATATATTGCATGTGTCTTATTGCCTTATATTGAGTTCAGTTATTCATGAGTTGAACAGAGCCAAGGTAAGTTCTCTTTTGTATCCCTTTCTAGCTTAAGTTGTTGTTTAGCGGTCCAGCTCGCATACTCGTACATTCCATGTACTGATGCCAGTTGGCATGCATCTTATTATGATGCAGACGCAGGTACCCAGGATCAGCAAACAGCACGCCGTTGATCCAGTTGAGCACTCCAGAGTCAGTGGTGAGCCTCTTTGCATTCTGGAGGACTCGGTTATTTTGTTCTCTTAGTTTTGCTTTATTAGGATGTTGTGGGGTGTGTCCCAACATCCATCTCAGTGTTATAGAGGCTTCATAAACAGTCAGTCAGTTAGTTTTGAGTCTCTCATCTATGTATATATGTAAATATTATATTTTAGGAGTCGAGTTGCCTTTTAGGCCAGATTTTATCAGTTAGGTTGTTTTTATGATCTTTCATTGCATTGAGTTATTCTGTTGGGTTAGGTTTCCGCTGAGTTAAGAAAGTCAGGCCAAAGGTTCGCTTGGGGGCCAGCAATGGTCTTCAAGTGCCGGCCACGTCCAGGGTGTAGGCTCGGGGCGTGACACATACAATATCTCATCCGTTATAATAAAGAACACAAGTACTGATAGCTAGCAGTGTTTAGACTTGATAAACATTTATTAACCAAAATGGATATAGAAAAACCGCGTTGGAAGGAGGCTTACATGTCTTTAGGATCGGTTCATCATTTGAAGCCTTTACAAGTTGATATGATTTCTCTGCAAAGAACATTGTATAAGTTAAAAGTAATATTGGATGGAAAAATAACATTTCTAAAAGGAATTTTTTATGTACGAAAGAAGTTGATGAATTCGTATTCATACTCACATTCTCTAGACCATCTACCTTGGAAGCATACCTCAAGGAAGCATACCTCAAGCTTGTCTTCTCCGGTCATTTCTTCAACATATTCCTTAATATTGAAGATCGACTCTTTAAGCTGACGGCTGAACCATACTTTGATAAGCTCTAATGACGCAATATCTCCAAAACTGTCTGGGATCTCCATAAGCTTATCATATGTAGTTATATCTAACATCTCGAGCACGGGAAATGATTTCTCTGCATCAACCTGCCATTCAGAAAATCTCACACCATCCAATTTTAGAGATTTGAGATTCTGGAAGGTGACATCTTCCATGTTCCATTCTTTCCCCTCCTCGATGATTGTGTCTTCTAGAATTAGTTCTTGAAGGTTGGGTAGTCTAGCAATTCTTGAAAGTGTATCGGATGTCAGAGAGAGCCATTGTGTATATTCACTGAATGAACCCCCAGAAGCAGATAAATGGAGTTTTTCAAGTTCGTTAAGGACATTTAATCTTGGAAAACAAATCTTCTCTGCTGAACAATCTGGTAGTTGTCCGATATAGACATCAAGTTTTTGAAGATTAGGAAACCTTTTGAAAATAATATCCTCCGTGTCTTCTATCAAATGGGATTCGTTTATTCGGCTGAATTGCAACTGCGAATTTCTAATACTAAAAGTACTTCTTTTGAAATACTGTAGAATTATTCTCAGTTAGTCGTAGATGCCTGCCTCTCTGATTTCTCAACAGTTTCTCATTGATGGGGAAAATATTGTTGTGATGTATGTTTTCCATGGTTGAGTTCTTCTTGGTCAATGCTTTAGTTTTAAAATTAAACTATGAATTCCATCTTTTGGTGTCTTTATGAAATACATCATGACATCTTGAGGCATTGGCATGGACAAAAGTATCATTTGTGCACACGAAATTGGACACCTGATAGTTCAAAAGCTGTAAATGATTTAGTGTTTTTAGTGCTATGGACTCTTGGACTGATTATTCATCTTTTTAAAAGCAGTTTCTTGTTGACAATACCGCCCAGTGTGGGATATGTGCAAAATCCGTTGAGTTTGTATTATTGCTATGATACTGAAGGCTCCTTGCAGAATTTGAAGAAATGCATTGCTGAGGTGAATCATTCTAATTGATAAGTAATCAAAGCCCAAATTGAAAAGTACTGTCAAAGTCTCAGACAAGGGCCTGTGCACTATTGATTATCTACTATCAGCAACCAAGATTTGTTACCTAAAAGGCTCCTCACACTTTTTACCCCGAGCAAATTAAAAAGGAAGTTCTACTGTACCCAACTGTTTTGCCTTTCTGCTAATTTCCACCCGCTGCATGTCCAGTTTCAATTTGTTAGTCTGGTTTTGACTTGACATGAAGTTTAAGAAAATAAAGAAGATTTTTGAATTTTGTGGTCTTAAACTAAAGATATGCCAAATGTACCAAAATTCAACATGCCATGTGAAAGTTGGAATTAAAGAGTTTCCCCAAAAAAGGAAAGAGACATTCTTTTTTAAACGGACTAAAAAAGAATAGGACAAACAAACTGAAATCGAGGGGGTATTTACTTACATCTATCTCTAGCTTAATCTGATTTTAGTCGAAAGTGATGCATAACATCAATGTCATGCTCTTGATTTGTTATCTTGTACTGTTCATGAAGCTTGTTCTTTCTATTCCATCTTTTGTGCTGATATCTTATGTTGCTTTCTCCTTGGCTATTATATTGATATCATTGTTCAAACCTCAACTGTTATGTAAAGGTTGACATGGTTAAGAAATGCATAGAGTTTGCTATGCTACCTGTTATTGTGTCCAAGATACTTAAGGCATTTATACAATTTTGGTGGCACGTCCTTGCTTTTGCTGAACCTGAAATCAGAACTCTTTCTTCTACTGCTTCTAAAGTTTCCTGCCATTACTAGGGCCAGTATATGCACTGTGGTTACCATCCTGAAAGGTTCCTACTATTCTAATCCTGGTATTTCAGGACTTTGTTTGGTGCTCAGTTGTTCAGTCTCACATTCTTTTTCTTGTTTTATACATAGGATTTTCCTACTTTAAGGCTCTTCATTAAAATTACAATTTCATCTTATTTTTGAATTTAACTTAGTCGTTGATATTCATTAGTAGCGTTGTGGAGTTGATTGCAGGATATGCTAGGAAACTGGACCATGAAAACAAATACACCTGGGGATAATCTATTTGTAACAATTTCAGTAAATCATCCAAAACATGGTGAATATTTCTCAGCTTCATTGATGGCCAAAAGAGTATCATCCTCCACACATACTGATCTAGATTTATTCTTTTGGCTAAGGCCTCACAAGATTGCATTAGGGATATATTGGCAGGTAAGCCCTTTAGACTGGAAATAAATTCGTTGTTGATAACTGAATATCTTGCGATAGTTTCAATAAGCATCTGTTAATGCATCTTAGTTAAATGGGCAATGACTTTCTTGGTTGAATCTCTGTTGTATGCTCGCTCTTTTTACTCCTAAATGACAAGTTTCTGCCTCGTATTAGGTTTTCCTGCTCATCCAAATTAATTCGAAGATCCTCCAAAACTTGAATTTCTTTGCTTTTAGTTTTCTCACTGCATGCTTGATGCGCAAATCAGAAGTATTCTCTCATGAATCATGTTTATTAATGTATTGGTAATAAATGTACCAATACATAGTCAACCCCGAGTCAGCTGGTGCCAACTTGGCCAAAGACCTAAGATCTCTTAACCTGTCTGAGAGGTCCAAGAGCCCAGACAATTCACCCTCCCGGCGCCAGCCAAACTCTGAATATAAGGGTTTTCATTTTATCACATCCAACAACCACTGTCTTATCCCCGAGAGGTGCGGGAGGAGATCTAGGAGTCGGTTAGAGTTAGGTTATATATAAATATCACCTTTTTAACACGTTGATACACATTGACACTTTGTTTTGTAGATACTGTAGCTCCATCATTGTTCATACATTTCTCGTTACTACTGTTGGCTATCAATTAGCTCGCTGCAATCACTAAGAATCACTCGCTCTTGTTGTTATTTCAATATGATTATTTACTTCATTACTGCCTTTCAAGTTATTTTCGTTACAATTTGTATAGGAATGGCATTCATTCCCTTTCTCCTTTTCACTATATATATCTCAGGCTCTTAAGCTTTGGTGGAAGGGTGTTCCTTTCTTGCAACATCCAAGGTACTACAATCCTAGATACAGAGAAGAGGCCATACTATCTGATGAGAAGCTTCAATGTTGTCCGGCGTTTGTATTTGAGACACAGAACAATCAACAGGCTGGAGAGCATTGTTCCAATCCTGCAGATCACTCAACTTCAAGACATCATGGCTTCACTTGGAGGGATGCAAAATGGCCCTGGTGCTAAAAAGAATGCAGTAAGTTTCTCAGATATAACGTTAAGATCTTTCTCTTTCTTCGGGGTCAGTTTTTTAATTTTCCAGTAGTGTCTTGAAGTTTTGATTTGCATTGTGAAGTTAATTTGTTTTTCTATGTTCAATTATTTTCTGCAGAAGAGTAGCTCAGCCTTTCGTAAATAAATGGCCCTCTTGACAAGAAAATTAAGAAAAGAGAGTCTGGGTAAGTGTTTATGTCAAACAACTTAGATTTTCAATTTTCATGATAACCTTACAAAGTCAAGCTAGTACATTAATAGCATGAGGAAATTGTTGTACTGCTATTTCTGGAAACACGATAAATAAATTCTGATTCAACTTAAAGAATAGAGCAGATCAAATAAATTCTGTATTAACTATTAAGGCTGCACTTGGTATGATGTAATACTTTCAGTTGAAATGTTACCATAACTTTTTTTGACGGTCAAAATCTTAAAATTAGGAACAAGGTGGGAGTGGCCTCCGTGGTGGAGAATATATGACATACATATTTAGTCCAAAAGTTTGCTACAAGAATATATGTAATGCAAAAGGAAGCTAAGTTATTGCTCAAAGTCTTAGATAAAATAGGAGTGGTTCAACTCATACAGAACTAGGAAATAAGCATTCATTATAATAAATATTTTCTTCCATCTCCATCTTGGCTAGCTCGATTCATATCACCTGAAAGTAGCAAATTAACCACAGATCAATTAGGCACTTAAAATTGGGCTTCAATGCTATGAGCTTCTGAAACTAAATGAGATCTTCATAAAGTTGATCATTATGAGCCTTACAACGAATTCAAACAGTAAATAGATAAACAAATAAAAGAAAAGGTCCAGCTCATCTTTTAGTATCACCTAGTAAGAGGGTGTTGATTGAAATAAAAAGTTTTAGAAGAAGTAGGTTCGAATAAATTTGCTAGAAACAGATGGCACTAGCTACAAGTGAGTCAAATGTGATCTTACAAGCTGTTTATTTGTGCTATACACATTGTTTGTCTTCTCTTAAAAATCGGAAAAAAGATAAGAAAAAATTCAGAAATGTTGGAACTCACTTAAAGAGAAAATTTTGCCAATCAAATTGTGGAAAAATCTTCAAATAGTTATCTAGTACTGTTTAGACTATCTATAGGGTGTGACCGTTCTCCAAATCCTGTTAACATGAGATGTTTTGTGCACAAGACTGCTTTTTTAGTTATCTAGTGGAGTAAATTTTAATATATACTTCTTTTTTTAGGGAAAGGGAACTTAAAAGTACTTCTACTAAGTTCTTCAATGCAAAAAGTACAAGGTAGGATATATCTTGGTAGGTGAGAAAGCGCAAAAATAGCTGCAGGGAAAAGTGATCCGTTCATCTGTTTGGCCAAACTTCTAAAATCTTAAGTGTATTTTTTCGAAAATGCTTTTGAAAAAAAGTACTTTTGGGGAAAGAAGAGAACTTACTTGCACTTTGTTACAAGGATTGTTAACATCACAATAAGCTTCAAGAGTAATCAAAGCTTGATTGTCTAATTTCATGGCATAATTATAGCAAGGGCAGCTCTTGCCTAGTATGCTTCTGAATGTTGGACAGCATGCATCTATTGAGCTTGTTTTCGTCATGCAAGTTTTAACCTTTGCTTTATCAGCGGCACTGCATTTCGGCTTCGCCTGAGGGCGCAGCCGGGAGCTTGGGCTGGCAGAAATGGTCGCCACCGCTTCCACTGTGTCAGTCCTGCTCCCATCAGCTACCACTTTCTGGTACATTTTTTCACAAAATGCTTTGTTAGGTTCTAGCAATAACTTCTATTTTCGCTTTATATAGGATTCAAGTTCATCGAAAGGGAAAACGCTTCCTATCAACAAGTTTTTCTATTTGTAAGACAAAGAAGGAAGAACTTACTTGAACACTTTTACATGGATTATTGATATCACAATAGCTCTGAAGAGTAATTAATGCTTGATTATCCAAATCCTCAGCATAATTGTAACACTTACAATTAGCACCAATTGTCCTCTTAAATAAGGGGCAACATTTATCTATAGAGACCGTTTGTGTCATGCACTTCTTTATTTTCCCCTTATCACTATCGCTGCAACTAGTGGTCGCGCTGGCAATGTTTTTCGCCACCGCTTGCTGATGGCTGCAGAGGACAACTGCAGCAATCAAGAACATGAGAATCACATACCCTCTAGTCATTTTCGCAATATCTAATCGTATTCGTTTTCTTCTCTCTAGCTACTATGAATCTTTTGTGTTGTACAAACCAATTAAGCTAGTAGTTCTTCTATTTATGCACATAAAATAGGATAGTGGTACTGTTTTAGAAAGTATTTAATAACAAGTGGATGAAAAAATAACATAAAGTTGACAACAAGTGGACATAATAATACGAAAAAGTCGAACACATGCTCGTAGAAAGAGGAAATAAGGTGATTAATTTGAAAAATGTAACGGTAGGTAAGGAGCTAGATGCAAAGGTTCATCCAAATCTCTTTCATTGAATGAAAAATTAGAGAAAAGGTCCAAAATAGTCCCTCATCTTTGGGTTAAGATTCAAAGTCATCCTTGAGTTTTCACATGGAGAATTAATAGTCCCTCATGTTTGCAATATTGGTGCACTTTTGGTCCTCCTTCAAAATTTTGCTTACTTTTTAACATTGATTTTATTCATAATTTATGTATGAAATGTTTAATCGTCATTTTATATATTTAGTAGAAATAATAACTCCATGTGAGAGATTGTGAGAAGAAAAAAACCTTATTTTGTTTAGTAGAAATCGTATTGCAAGTAAAGTCGAGAGGTTCATCACGACGATTTCACGTACAATAGTACAAATTTTTCTTATCTTGCAATGTCATATGTTAAAATGTTCTTAGTTTAGCTGACTACAGTAATATTTATACTGAACAGAACAATGTGTTCTTTTTCTCACCTTTTCTCACATAGAGTTATTATTTCTACTAAATATATAAAAAGACGATGGGACATTCCTTATATAAAATTATGAATAAAATTAATGTTAAAAAATAAACATAGGCAAAAGTTTAGGGAATGACCAAAAGTGCACATTGAAAACATGAGGGACTATTAGTGCTCCATGTGAAAACTCAAGGATGACTTTGAGTCTTAACCCAAAGATGAGAGACTATTTTGGGCCTTCTCTCAAAAAATTATATTAAATATAGTGAAAATTTTGAATTCGCGACTAGTATTACGATTGAATTTAGGAATCACTTCTCTTTTTTTTTTTAGATCCAAGTATTAGGATTTGGTTGAAATAACATTATGGTTTCCACATTCTCCCACGTGCAACAGCAAATTTAATATTGCACACAATAGATTCTCCTAGCCGCCCCCTTTTGTTTAATAAACTTATTTTTACTTTTTGTCTCTTGGTTGAAAATTGAAAGTATCTAGAAGTGTTCTCCATTATTAACTACTAATAATATAAAATTTAAACAATACATCATTTGGAGTGGGATACGCATGCAACCATGTGATTGATGTGAATCCTACCTAGAATTTGAATGTATGATCTAAAATCAAAATTTTGAATTTCTTAGTCCTAATTTTTAGACTTTTTTTTTTAGCTTTCAATCCGCTGTTTGATGTCCGTATTGTAGTCCGATTAATTTGGATTTGCGGTGAATAAGACCTCATTCAGAACTTGAGAACTCTAATTAAAGAAGTAGCCCTATCCACTATACCATAACAATCTGTATTTACCTTATTTGATAGCATAAATAGCCTAGGTAAAAAAATGATATTTTGGTGAAAGCACTTCTCTTCCATTCTGTTCTTTTTATTATTGCTTAGTATTTGACATTTGATGTTCAATATTTGTTTTGGGATCCAATTAATTCAAATTCACACAGAAAAATCTCACTTTTGGAAGGTAAAGAATTCTCTACCAAAGGTGACTTCATAACTCAAAACTTTGAACTCGAGACCTTTGATTAAGGATAAAGAGATAACATGCAGATTGAAGAACTTGAAATGGAACTTAACATTTTTCTAGATAGATTATGGACTAGTTCAACTTGTGGAACAGTAAGATAACAGTTGCAGCTATCAAATCAAACTATTTCTTGGCAACTTCGACAACTTATAACGATGTTTGTCCCACATATCACTAGGAAGATCGGGATAAAAGAAAATGTGAACTTGACACAAATGATATTTTTTTGATGCAGTATTCAGCATCAATTCTGGAGAAAAGAACATAAAGCTGAACAAAGATGAAATTTGGCAAGTTCACCAATAACCAATCATATATCATATATTAGGCCCGCCTACGTGGCGCCACCACAAATCAAAATTCCCTTTTAATTTATTTATTTACAAAATTAATCTTTCCTTTCATGAAAAGTTGCGACTTTAATGAAAAATTGTGCCTTTAATGAATAGTTGTGACTTTTATGAAAAATTGCGACTTTAATAAAAAGTTTCGACTTTTATGAAAAGTAATGACTTTTATGAAAGGTTGTAACTTTTCCGTAGGGTTGCAATTTTTCCAAATAGTTGTAACCTTTCTGATAAGGCACAATAAACATTTGTTCACACTACCTTTGTTGTCTATAAATAGAGGGATTTCCTCTCATTTTAACACAACGAAAATTCTGAACCTCCTCCTCCTCTTCTTCTTCTTTACAATTAAATATGTGTATACTTTGCTCAGTGGCTCATTGACACTATTTCTTATGTTACAGATCCTGATATGTATTTTTACAATCATTAATTTATAAATTATGCTTATGTTATTAAGGCTAAATAATAAAGAGTAATAATTTTCATTTTCCTTTACATTATTAATGTTTGTTACTACGTAATCTTGTATGTAAGATACTATAATGTTTTAGTTTTAATGTCTGATAGGTTTTACGTATTATTTTATAAATTTTGTGATATTAAATTCCCGCGAATTTTACTCGTGTTCTATAATTTTGAGTTCATTGCTCTACATTCTCTTAGAATTTTTGTTCCTGTTAAGGAAAAAGATCTATGCTTTC